CTCTCTCTTGCTCTCTCTGTTATCTCACTTCATTTTCTTTACTGTTCCTCCTGCTTTAACCTTCATTTGCCATGTATTCACTTCACAGACTGTGACTTCTACATGACAGTGACTGTTGAAACCAGAGTTTAGACGTGCAGCTGAACACGCTCTCTGATTTTGGATCATCCTGCAGTGCACTCTACATCTCTCCCCACAAAACTAGACCAATTACAAACCAGCAAATAGAATTCCTGTTCTTGATACTATATATTTTCTATGAAAGTTACAGCCTCCAATGGCATGTTTGTACTAACAAGCGCAGTCACCTCCTTCACCTGGTTTGTACTTAAACTGGAGGAAAATGTGAATACTGAATATCATTGTGCCTCCATTGACACGTGCTGCCTTTATGGATGAGCAAAACTGGCAAAACAAAAGAAGCTGCCAGAGGACTCTAAAACTTAATGGCAGAATTAGAGTTTAGTAGTAGTTCAGGCTGCAATCCCTTCTGGATAAGAGAAAGTGGAGACACATTCCGAAGAGTGCCGCATAGCCCATGCTTTGTGTGTATAAAGATTTAAAAAAAAAAAACAGAGAGGAGAAAAACTGTTTGTCTAGACTCCCCCAGACAGCCGCAGAAGGATAAAACCAACACGAAGTGCACTATGAGTACACGCTAAACAAACATGAGCTACGATAGCAGCTCAGTGGGATCACAGACGTGCCATCCAGGCCACACACACAGTATGGCTGGATGGTCTGAGTATATGGTTATGAAAAAGAAGAAGTTGGGCAAACATGCCAGGTGAGGATTAGACTGTGGGTATCTGAAGACAGGTGCATGGCCAGGGGAAGTGTGTCCTGACAGTAGTCGTGTGTGTTACAACTGCATTCTGGTGGTACCTCAGTCAGTCAGTAGGGCTGTGAGGGATTAACAGCGTGGCCTGTATTGGCTCGTGGTAATTTCTGCTCTCTTCTTACATAACACTGGGCCATTAGTCAGCACAAACACACAATAAATAACACAAACAACCACACCGAGCTCGACAACAGACCACACATGCCCTGATAACACTTCAAACCAGAGATTCACTGCAGGCCAGGTGCCCACTGTTGTGCATAATAAGTAATTTCATGGTGACAATGGAAAACGGTGATTTAGTGGCACAACCTGTGCACTAGCCTGCTGTTTCTGACTGAGGCTGGTGCTGCTGGTTTCCAAATAGGCCCCTTCATGAATGAGTATGACGAATGTCAGATCATATGTTGGTGTAACCGTGCATTGTTGGTGCAGTTCATTAGTAACACTGGTGCCTCTTGCAAACTCCTTGTTAATAATTTTAATCATGTTTTGGGACAAACTGTGACACTTTTATTTTAACTCCTCTATTTCATTTTAAAGCAGAGTATAAACATTTAATAAATGTTTATAAGAGTATAATATAGCTGAAGTTCTCTTTTTTTGTACAGTTGTCAGCAATTAGAACAGCTCCTATGACATATTTCATATTATTACACCTGTGTTTTATTATCTGTTTATACACTTATGGGTAACCACAGGAGGAGTTATAGCTGTTGACAAGCACATTAATATGCACTTATGATTTTAACTGTACAACTACATTAATCAGTGTTTGCATCTATTTACATTTATTCAATGTTTGCATATAATCTTATAAACACATTGATCTATTTCATACATATTATAAACAATAATAGGCATAAATATTATAACAGCAACACAAACTGAAAATAAGTGAGCTAATACTTATTTAGAGCCAATGGTTACAGATCTAGCAGATGCTAACTTGTAACATTAAAGGTAAAGTAAATCTTTGGTATGTGGTATATATTTATCTAAACAAACTGCTTCCGTTGGCTTGGGGTAAAAATTGATCCTAGCATGCTTTAGAATCCAACAAATCAATGCTTGCACAGACCTCAATGCAAAGCAGGATGGGACTAATTATATTGGCATGAGGCCATCATGCATAGTAGCTGTGTGAGTGTGAGTGCTTTTCTGCCAATATTCTGAATGTAAGTAATATAAATAATGTCTAGTTTGAAATTAACGCCAATGAATTATCACCGTCATTCCTGTCCTCTTCTTTTGCCACCGCTCATCACCACTTTACCCTGACATGCTCCCAGTTTCTACCATCTTGTCTTCTCCCATAGTGAAGGAGGATGGGAGGTAGTGGTGGACACATATCACTAACAGAGGAGGTCAAATGCGTGCGGTAAACCCCTGCTCCCCTGTCACTGCCTCCATCTCTTTGACTCTTTGACCTGTCTGGCCCAGGTGCCGTCCCATCTACAGTATGTTGTGTAACAGCTCTCAGGGATATACCAGTAACACGTGTACACATGCTCAGGCTAATGGGACCTAATGCAAAAACCTCTGTGAAAATAGGAAACTATTGACATGCCGACACTTGCATTTATGTTTCAGACAATTTGTAAATTTATGCAAATGTTCATATGCAATGTACAACTCTGTATATATGTTTGATTGTCTTTAGCAGAGATCTCAGTAGAGGTCTGTGTTCATGTTGATAGTAAATATATATTGACTAGATGAAATGTTTGGTAGGAGGATGTTGATCGGCTCAGATGTCCTCTGGGTGTCCATGCATAATTATGGCAAAACAAGTCTTGTTTAGACTGAATAACATTTAATTTCCATGATTAAAATTATTACCAGTAAGTGTAATCAAAATAGACTACAGAATGAAATCAGTTCTGTTATTTATTTATTTATTATTGTTGTTCATTTTTTTTATGAAGGGCTAAATCTTAAAAATGAAACTTGGCTATCACCAAAACAGTTTGCAACACAAAATGACTACACCACTCTTACTGATGATGATATTATTACACAACGTCTTTGTTGGGGTTTACAGGAACACTGTTCACAGAGCAGCATCATTATGTTGCTGTTGAGAATACAGAAATAATAATCCTGTTTATAACATCGTACACAACACTGAGCCATAGTGGGAAAAAAGCACAATGCTCCATTTTCTGAGATGCAGAAATGGCCCTGATGATATTATTCTATGTGGTGTTTCTGTGCCTCTTCCTGGCCGGGCGGCGGGGTGACATCATCTTTGGTCAGGGCTTCAGGAGTTGTGGCTATTGTTAAATAATAATTACCACGTCTCATAAGGGGCCTCTATTTTTTTTATAACCTTGTGGTTGTGAGCGCATTTCTGTGTAAGGGTAGCCGAGACTCCACACACACACAGGTTGAGAGTGGGGGCCGCACAGCCCACGCTGATTTAATTCTATCTGACAAAACATGGAGAAAGAGGGGTGAGAGAGATGCTTTAGGGACCTCTTCTACTAACCACTGCTATAAAGTAAAAGCATAAGTTTTCTGTATGCCCCCCAAAGCCTCCTATGCATGAGAGCGGTCACAGGGCCCATTAAAGTGTGGATAAAATACAAGGTACATGACAATGGAGTTTGCCTTGGATTAAAGTGAAAGAGGAGCTGGAGGGGTGGGTGCTGTGGCCTCCTCATGTTTTTTCCTTTCCTTTATTTGATGACCTGAAGCTGAAATAACAGAAAGCGATAGATAGATAGATAGATAGATAGATAGATAGATAGATAGATAGATAGATAGATAGATGGATAGATAGATAGATGTGATGCATCAACAGTTTTAGCCACAGTACATGTTTGACACTTTATTTTAAGTGGATTACAATTATCTTTATTGTTGGAGAAGCTGTTCCTGTTTATCATCATAATAATTACTAATGATAATTACCTAGTTACTAATAATAAAGTAATCAGTTAAATAACAATAATGGCCAATAATTTATCCTGTGATCTCAGCTCACACTATAGGCTACAACAACAAAACTATACATGTAATTACAACATGACCATAGTCCAGTGAAAACTGTCAGTAAATGCGTTTCATTTTTAAGCAGATGCAAGCTGCTTATCTCAACAGCTGATTATTTTGCCTTATAGTGGCGACTTTTTAGTGTTATGTGAGGTTTAGTTTTTCTGCATATGTATCAGAATTCTCCAACAACCTCTCTCTTCCTTTTCCACGTCCTTGTGAAACAGTTTAATAGTTCCCAGTGTCAAATAGAAAGACGAGGAGGTTCGGCCAATTAAAGACAGACTGACTAATAAATGAAGCGCTCAACCAAGTTAAACGAGTGTTGCGACTTGGTGTCAGCGATAATTGCACAACATCAAGAAGAGCAAATAAAATACTTAAAAAAAAACACTAAGCTGATAATGATCGTGTTTAATATTGCAGCATTTGTGTTTGATTTTTAGTGTAATGGCCGATAAATTGCAAATAGGCCTGTTGGAGAAACAAAAAAACAAAGAATTTTCTGCTTTGTGGAATAAAGAAAAGCACTTAGTGAGAATAGAAAGGGATGCTGCAACCTGTATGTGCGCGTGCGCGCGCGCAGAACGACATTGACATTGAATTTCAATATCCCACGGAAATGGCCAAGCCGACCGCTTTCAAAGTAGCCTATCCCTGAAACATTCAATAAAGTACATTAGGACAAAACTGTTTTTTTTTGTGCACATCATCAGCCCTGATCCGGTGGCGGTGTTTCCGTAGTTCCTGTTTGTGTGGAGAGGAGCTCAAATGAATAAAGTCAAATATCGAATATCATGCACCAATTTTAATTTTCAAGTATAGACTCCAGCGGCTTTACGCATGAATTTGCAAAGTGTAAGCCTGTTCCACACAAAAACACACATTCATACTCAAAACACACAAGCAAATTGATCCAAATAAACTTTTATACGTGTATGATGTAAGGTGGCTGGTGAGGCTGCAGAGAAATCCAACCAGCTGCGAAAAAAGTGACTAAACGGCTTTGCTGTCAAAAACTCCCAAAGTAAACTTTCAAGGCCAAATCTGGGATAAAGGTTGCAGTGCCGTGTGTATGTATAAGTCTACAGTGTGTGTGTGTGTGTGTGTGTGTGCGCGCGCGCTGAAGCTTGGGGAAACGTCGACGGTGGGATGGTCTTACCTCGCATGTTGGCGTTGCTGGAGCTGGTGTTGAGACTCGCTTCCCAAAGCAGCAGTCATGAAGAAATAAACATAAACACTTAGAAATGGGAGGGGGCTGCGGGGGGAATGATCCTTGGTTAAAAATAATAACGACAACGAAAAAAGTGTGGATGATCTGCTTCGATGTCCACTGGCTGCCCTGAGCGGAGGCGTCTCTGCGCTAAAAGCATCCCAGACCGGGGCGCAGACAGGCGGGGTGAGGTCGGAAGGTGCGTCGGTCGTTGCGCTGTGGTTGTATGGTCGCTTGTCTCATGACATCTGCGCTCTCACCTCTATGGGAGGGTTTCACTCTCTTCTGCAGGCTGAGGGAGGGAAAAGCGTATAGGACAGGCTTTACCCGGCAGCCCGGATTGGACTGGAACACTTTCCGCTCCTCCCACTCTCTCCTACTCACCCTCCAGCCCGGAGCCTGCACACACACACGCGCAGCCTGAGCGCACTCTGCTGCTGCAGTACACAGCAAAGTTTTTAATGTCACTTTCCACATTTAGTCAACCCTGTGCAATTTAGACTTTTTTTATGCATGCAAAGAAAAAATGCATGCACAGTCTTTAATCTGGACTCCCTTAAAGCAAACATTCTTCCTAGGGGGATACGGTTATTTATTCCTCATCGTCCTATTTGTTTGACATTTTTCATAGAAATTGTTTGACTAATCTAACTGAACACATACAAAATAGTTTAGGAGTAAAGACAAGTCTTATAGTCAACAGAGGGTGGGCGCTTGTGGTTCAGATATTAGCCTGATTTAAAAAACTTAGATGATTGATAACAATGATGAAAACTATTGATAAAAGAGCTAATCTACTGACTTTAGATTGATACAGACAAACATTATCATGATACCATTGGAGCGAGATTGGGCAGGTTTAAAGACACCACAGGGCGTCACATTCTCTTTGAAAAAAGTAGGAAATAGTAACAAACTGGGTACCTAAAACCACACTTATTCTTAATAGAGTATTTGTTAATTTAATCAATGACATTTTAATACTTTATGGCTTATACCTATGAGCATGGATTAGAGCACAAAGCAGGTTACAGCATCACCATAATTGATTATCTCACAGTGATGTTCAATTTGAAATGCAGTAAAATGATGATGTACTATGCTTATTATATAAAAGCATATATATATGCTTATATCTGCCTTACAGGCAATAAAGAAAGGTTGATTGATTTTCTGTTCCAGAAAAAAAGCAGCTCAGATGAGATGATTCGAGGCTTTCATGGTGGGGTCCTCTTATTCCAGTGACACAGTGCAATAGAATTATTGCAGACTAGCTGCATAATATGTGCAACTAAGTGTGAAATATTTTTATTTACTTGCTAGATGT